AGTTTTCTCTCAGTTTGATCTTCGTCCTTCGATCTTTGATAAGTATTACCGTTTATAGCTATTCCACAATTTGTTGAAAGAAAGCTCGTAGAATGCATAGATAATACATACCCACTCTTAAATCTCGATAGCAAAGTTTTATTAATCATAATAATATAAAAACTCGAAAACGTTGCGCCTTCGCGCTGCCATGTTTGATAAAATCAATCGGCTCCGCTCCCCCCCGGATTGAAAACTAAATTATTACGAAATGTCCAATATTTTTGGAGTCACATGACCAGTGTTTACCAGGGCCTTTGCTTCCCGTACCAAGCCTCTGAACCGCGCAAAGGCCCTGGGTACGAGGTTGGTGACAACGTCCCTCTTGAGAATATAATTAAGTGTCCCATCATGTCCGACCAAAACATGGGTTGATCTGACACATTGTCAGACCAAGTTTTCAGAATTATATTGAACGCTGGTGATGATCAACTGTCACCATCGTGACCGTTATCATTGATACCTACGAGTGTGTAATTGTATTTATGATAATTTTAAGAATCCAAGCGCTTTCATTGGTCGAGAGCCATGATCTATTAGAGGACAGACGCACGGAATTAGGCTACGTCACACGTGGTATTTGTTAAATGTTTCCAAATGTTTGGGTGGATAAAAAGTAAGCTATTTAACTGTTTAATTCGGGTTTTTTTTTATATAAAACTAGAAAATATATGCATGCAGAAACCCCTGCCCTGCCTGACAAAACCATTATATTTTCCGAAAATGAAGTATTTAAAGTGGTTGTCATGGTATATCACTTTTTATTCCCCAAACACACTATGTTAGGTTAGGTTATTATACGTAATAAGTATAAGCATCAATTTAAGGTAAATTCAACCTCAAACGCTTTGCAAGACGTTTTAAAGTGCTCTTTATAAAACTAAACTGCCTTTATCGAATAACTTAATGAAATAAAATTATTTTAATTCTCGCATTCAAATAACTTTGCTTCCTTTTTTATTTAAAAATTTTAATATAATAAAAAACGGAGTACGTAATTATTAAAAAAAAAACATTGAAATTATATGCTGTTTTTTTTCATTTAAAATATACGCAACGATCAGCTTTTAAAGCAATTATAAAGCAAACAATACATCAACATTTAAAACAAACCTACCTTCGTTAACGTCGGCGCCTTTACTCCCTTCTTTTAGCAATTCTTTGGTCTTTATTTTCTTAATTTTTAACAGTTTTTGAATTTTACAAATTGCAAAACTTAAATATATTTGCAAAAGTGTCAAGTAGAAAGTTTTGTTTCATCAGAATACTTGACTAAATGTGGTGTACCACAAGGTTCTATTTTGGGTCCATTGCTGTTCTTGCATAGTTGTATATCAACAGCTTACCAGAGTGTCTTAAAAATACAAGACCTCGGCTATTCGCTGATGATACAAACCTCACAGCCTCTAGTCACTCCAAAGCTGATATTGAGATTGCAGTAAATTCTGATCTAGAAAACCTTATGAACCGGTTAATGGCCAATAAACTTAGCTTGAATGTGGCTAAAACAGAATTTATGTTGTTTGGCTCTCCACAAATGATAAGAAATGCTTCAAAATTAAATTCTCAACCAAATATTTTAATTGAAAACAAACAAATCCAACAAGTTAATAAATCCAGAACTCTGGGAACAACAATTGATCAGCATTTATCTTGGAAGCCTAATACCGAAAATAATTGCAAAAAAATAACATCAGGAATCTCAGCTCTGCGTCGTGTCAAACTATTTATTGCTGAAAGAGATACACTTATCTCCATATACAATGCCATCGTACGTCCCTACACGTCGATTATTGTTCTGAAGTTTGGGGTGTATTTGGGGAAATACAATCTAAACGACTACAAAAGCTCCAAAACAGAGCTGCTCGAACTATTTCAAATAATTATGAGCGATGATGTAGATCATTCTATTGCTTTATGTGCCTTAGGCTGGAAGCCACTTGATATCGATCATGAGAAAAAAAGCAAAAGCAACAATGATGTACAAAAGTCTAAATGGGATAGGCCCGAATCTCTCACAAACCTCTTTACTTATAAAAATGAGATAACAAATGAGATAACGAAATATTTCAAGTAGTCTTTGTCTGCCACAACCACGCACAAATAGCTTGAAAAAAGTTTCATGTATGATGGTGCTAAGCTGTGGAACTCTATTCCAAATGAAATTAGGGAAAGCAAATCTCTGTCATGCTTTCAAAAGAATATTGCTGCTCACATTTTCTAAATAAATGTACTAATAGTTCTTCTAGTTGTAAATAAATATTCTACTATTTCTATACTATTTGCACTACTTAATACTATTTCTACTATTTGTAAATAACTATTCATGTAACTACGTTTATACTACTGTAATTTCTTTCCTACTACTGCTTTTTTCGTCTTACACTCCCCCTGTGGAAATCAGCTTCGGTTGACAGGGTTAGCATGGGTAAACAAAGTTTTTCTATCCATCTTTCTATCTATCTTTCTATCTATCTACTTTTTCCTGCTGATTTTCGCTCAAAAACAAACTTTTGACTGAATTTCCCACTCCTCGAAACTCTCCCCAGTCCTTTTTACAGTTAATGGACCATTTGCATTATAGACTAAATTTTGATCTAGAAAAAAATGTTAATCACAGCTTGAAAGAGCATCACATAATATTCCAAAGTTTCGTTGCGAAGTGTTGTAAATTGCGGATAATATAGCCTTGCGAAGTTTGCCGTTTTTCAGTCATTTTGTATCATACGCACGGGAAATTGACAGCCCAATCGGGTATTGGGGCATCAATTTCCCGTTTGTAATACAAAATGACTGAAAATTGCAAATTTCGCAAGGCCATATTATCCGCATTTTACAACATTTTGCAACGAAACTTTGGAATATTACTAATTTTGTGATGCTCTTTCAAGCTGTGATGAAATTTTTGTCTAGATCAAAATTTAGTCTATGATGTAAATGGTCCATTTATTGCTCGCTGAGCCTCGCGAGAAGCGCCATCTTGGCTTCAGGGGCCGGTTGTATAAAAAAGTGATTAAAGTTATCTATAGTTAGTGGAAACGTCATCCAATAAGAACGCGTATTTGAGAGTTAATCAATATTTAACCACAAAATAGTGATTAAAAGATTGATTAAGACTTTTATACAACCGGCCCAAGGCAAGTATGGGCATGTTTATCTGCAGATAGCGTTCCAGTCTTATAAGAGTTTACTGCCACACACCCAACACGCACGGTCACCCACGCCCGTGATCATCGATTAACTTTAGACTTCGTTAATGCTTTCGTTCCCTGGGTGTAAATAACAGGGCGGAAATAGTACCCTACCAATTTAATGGCAGAAATATTTTGGATGTACTACATGTGAGATTCTCAGGTTCAGTTAAACTGCTAGTTCGCCTCAAGAGATAGACGAAGAGCAAGAACAAAAAGTGACACCATGCAAGGCGCCGAAATTGACTTTTGTTAAAGTCGGTACCTTTGTGTCATAATTGCTTACCTTTACCACCTGCTCGATGATATTAACCTAATGCGAACACATGCACTTCTCAGATGAACCACTTAGGGTTACATCAAATGATAAAACATTGATTTTATTATTTTTATTTTTTATATATTTGTATTAAGGCACGGAAATCTATCATATTCCGCAATTTTTTTAAAAATCTTAAAAACAAACGAGATATATGGCAAAGAATTTTTATCATCGTATAAAACTGCGCGAAAGTTATAATTGTGATTGATATTAGCTGTCACTTGTGACGCAGCGTGAAATTTCACATGCATGCAAAAACTGTTTACTATTGGCTCCACATGCATACACAGCAGCCTTCTTCTCTTCAGCAGTTTAAAACGTCTTGCGAAGCGTTTGAGGTTGAATTTTACCTTAAATTGAAGCTTATATTTGGTGCAATAGCGTACTTAACATATAGAAGTTTCGGGAATTAATAATTTTGCAATACACCGTTTGGATAATTATGTCACAACTACACTGTTTTCAACTTAGGACCACCTTAGATGGAATGGATTTCAAGGTTCTTTTCTCATGGGCTATACACAGAGAAGCAGAACATCATTCTTCAACAATAACTGATATGGAAATAAGCAGTAACACGAAACGAGGCTCCAGGTCATGACCAAGAATCTTAGAACACAGGTCATGTGTATCTGGTTTGACCTTTAATGAAAACAAATGCAAGAAGTAAAGAATAACGAGAAAGATTACACCAATAACGTCAACATTATGATAAACGATCACTAATTATACACAACCGACACTGAAAGGGATCTTGGTAGATGTATATCATCAAACCTTACGTGGAAAACCCAATCACGTACTATCAGCCGTCAGCCGTTGAAAGCTAACCAACAGTTAGGCTACACAAGAAGAGAAATATAAGGAATATTTGAACGATCTTAAATCTAATTTGAGTGAACACGTACTCGAAACGTTTCTGGACATTTACTTAAAGCAAAACCAAGGCATATAGTACTCCTGAATTTCTGAAGTACGGCAACGAATTCGCCACAGATTGCAAAGCCAAGGCTAATCTCTTTAACAATTATTTTCACTTTGTATTTAATTCTGGGTTATGTCCGGAGCCTGGTGAAGATCATCAAAATGTGGAAAATTGTGATGTCAATAATATCCTGAATCAGGTTATTCTAAACGAAAACGAAGTGTTGAAATGTCTATTGAACCTGGACCAAACGAAAACAGGTGGACCAGACGAAATTTCTGCAAGGCTTCTTAAGACGGTCGCCCATGAAATAACACCATCATTAACACGCCTCTTTAACCTTTCTCTGAATTTAGGAAAAGTTCCAGCAATATGGAAACAGCCAAACGTCACCCCGGTCCCGGTTCCCAAGGTTGCCGACATGCATTGCGCTGAAAATTATAGACCAATTTCCTTGTTATGCATGGTTTCGAAGGTGTTGGGAAAATGTATTTACAACCGCTCTTATGACCACATTTCTGGAATGATACATAACTTGCAACATGGCTTCTTGCGAGGCAGAAATTGCACAACTCAGTTGATACAAGTTTGCCACAAGATTCTAACAGCTCTGGACAATAAACACTCTGTTGATGTAATTTACCTCGATTTTCAAAAAGCGTTTGATAAAGTATCTCATCGTTTACTACTGTATAAATTAAGTAAACATGGTTTTCTTGGTTCTATGCATAACTGGTTTAACAGTTACCTTACTGAAATAAGGGTTCAAAGAGTGGCTCTTGATGGACACTATTCTGAATGGCTTGAAGTCACCTCTGGTGTGCCCCAGGGATCTATTCTGGGCCCACTACTTTTTATACTGTTTATTAACGACCTTCCCGAACAAGTTCACCCACCAACAGAAATGGCATTATATGCCGACGATTCAAAATTATACAGAGTGATTACATCCGATGCTGATACTGGAAGTTTACAGAACAATTTAAACGAAGTAAGTTCATGGACTGAAGAGTGGTATATGAAACACTAATAAATGTAAAGTAATGAGATTGTCGAGAAAGAAAATCTAGACAACCCATGATTATAAATTGGGTTATGAAACTCTCGAATGCGTTAAAACCACTAAAGATCTAGGAATAACTGTAAGCGAAGATGTTAGTTGGGGAACACATATTTCAAAGATTACAGCCAAAGCAAATCGTACACTTGGGCTTATTAAGCGAACGTGTAAGGATATCGAAGATCAAAGTATCAGGAAGCTTCTCTATCTTACATTGGTCAGGCCACAGCTGAAATTTTTATCTGAACTGTGGCCTCCTTCAGAAGTGAAATATCAACTTCTGTTGTTAGGGGTACAACGCAGAACTACAAAGTTCATCCTAAATTAAACTCATCATACTGACTATAAAAAACGTTTGATTCAACAAAATCTCCTACCACTTGATGTTCGGCGAAATATGAAAGATCTTTTATTCTTTTTCAAGTGTAGAGCTGGGCTTTTGGATATTCAATTACCTAATTATGTGCAGAACCGACCAGCCCCTAAATATAATTTTAGATCATATGATGAGAATGATTTTACTGATTTTAAATGTAGAACTCAATATTTTAAAAATTCCTATATTCCTCCAGTTGTGAGAAAGTGGAATTCGTTAGATAGTGATATTAAAACAATTGACAGCCTTGATATTTTTAAGTCAAAACTATATCAGAAATTTTATAGTGAACTTAATGCTTATGAACTCCCACATAAATAGTTTGTATTTACTATTGTCCTTTAGTCTGTAGTCTGTAGTAATTAATGCATAGATTTTATATAACTTTATATACATGTAGGTTTTATATTGGTAGTCATGTTAAATTGGGGCAATGCACTGTTTGGCCACCAGTTGCTTTAAATAATTACATGCATATTTGTATTTAGTCTTGTATAGATATACATTTATGTATAATTCTCTGAATGCAACAAAGTTATTAATTAAATCAAATCAAATCAAAGAAGAAATACCAATGTTAAGTTTGCGATTACATGTTCATAGTGATTATTTTATTCGTTCGTGATTGTATGTTTGATGCATAGTTTACTAATATTGGCAGAAGATACTGTATCTGTACTTCAAAAAGTGTATTTGGCAACAGGGCACCTATTGTGATCATTATTAAGGTTGACATGATTGCATATCCGGCACATGTGCTATAGCTGCGGGTTTTTTGGCATGTCTACATAAAAATTCACCGTTTGTGTTTACTCGAACATCTACTGGCAATACACAAATCTAAGAACAGCTAAAAGAGATAGACGAAGAGCAAGAACAAAAAGTGACATCATGCAAGACGCCGAAATTGACTTTTGTTAAAGTTCATGCTTTAACAATAGTTAAAGTCGGTACCTTTGTGTCATAATTGCTTACCTTTACCACCTGCTCGATGATATCGACCTAGTGGAAACCATCCACTTCTCAGATGAACCACTCAGGGTTACATCACATGATATGACATTGATTTTATCATTTTTATTTTTTATATATTTGTATTAAGGCACAAAAATCTGTCATATTCGACAATTTTTTAAAAATTCTTAAAAAACATTTCATTTTTGTGTTTTGGCTTTGCTTTTTGCCTTTGTAGTTTCCTTGGTCTTTCCAGTTCCTTACGCGTTGGCGCTTGGCCGGCATAGCTCAGTATAATTTCTACCCGTGTGGATATGTGTTAATATTTAATAGTTTAATCAACTCATTAACAATTAGTCGCCGAAGGCGAGGTGATTACAAGCCTATATTCACTGAGCCGATGGCGAAGTGAATATAGGCTTGTAATCACCGAGCCTGAGGCGACTAATTGTTTTAGTATAAATTCCCAGGTGTTTACAAACAATAATCCACACAACTTTATAAAAATTCACTTCAAATAAATTTATTTTCACTGTAAATAGTTTGTTTACAAAATTTAAATCTCAGAGACGGCTCTGTGTCGCGTTGCGACTAAGCCAGTCTTTTTTCCAAATAAAAGCACGTAAAGTTTAATATTTTACCTTGAAATATTTTTAAATCATATTTTGTAGCTTGTTTGGGTTTTTCGGAGTGCTATCTTCTTTAATTTTGGCAATTTCCTCCTCTGTTACTACGGCAAAAGAGCAGCCATTTTGAAAAAAAAGCTATAGTCACTGACCAGTGACTATCACTTCAGAGACAGTGAATCTTGACCAATCAGAATGCAGAAAAATCAATAGTCACCTGGAAATTTATACTAAAACAACATAGTAGCATCCTAGCCTATAGACTAAAAACAATAAAATAAGTAAGAACGTGTTCGTATTTCCGATTTAGTTCAATACTTTTTAATTTAAGTTCTTTGTATGTTTGCATGGCGATAAAATATAATTGTTTTATTAATCACAATTTTATTTTTAATTTTAATCACAATTATAACTTTCGCGCAGTTTTATACGATGATAAAAATTCTTTGCCATATATCTCGTTTGTTTTTTAAGATTTTCAAATTTGTTTTTAAATTTAAAAATTTTTAATTTTTAATTTAAAATTAAATTAATTTAAAATAATTAAATTAATAAATTAATTAATTTTAATTAAATTAATTTTAATTAATTTAATTAATTTTATTTATTAAATTTTTAAATTAAATTTTTAATTTTAAATTTTTAAATTTTTTTAATCTATAGGCTAGGATGCTACCATGTTGTTTGAGTTGATTAAAATATTAAATATTAACACACATCCACACGATTGGAAATTATACTGAGCTATGCCGGCCAAGCGCCAACGCGTGTAAGGAACTGGAAAGACCAAGGGGGGAAAATCTAAAAAATTGTTTGTTTTTTAGATTTTAACAAAACTATTATACTTTTTAATTTGCAAGCACATTTTCCAACGTCTCACACGCTATCGATAACTCAATTTGCTGATATCAAAGCGATCAAAATAGCTATATAGGGTATAAAAAAAACGAACATGAAACCAAAGCTACTTAATTCTCGTGGCGCAAAGGGTGCATGCTATTAACTTTAAAAAACTCTCATTGCAAATGTATTCTTTGTAATCTCATATTTTGTAGTTATATATTGTGGGGATACGTTTTGTATCTTTTATTGTATATGTAATTTCATATGTGCGTGTATTGGTATTTTACGAATAAAATTTATTATTAATACAAACTAAAATGTGTTGATTAAAAATTTTTCACTAGTTATTTTTCATTGTGTGTGCCAAATTTCAAAGGAATGCCTCAAGAACTGAGCGCGGCGCGGTCGATTTTGCATGTTCATAGTAATTATTTTACTCGTTCGTGATTATATGTTTCATGCATATTTTACTAATATCCGCAGAAGGTACTGTATCTGTACTTCGAAAAGTGTATTTGGTAACAGGGCACCTATTGTACGTGATCATCATTAAGGTTGACATGATTGCATATCCGGCACATGTGCTAAGGTTGTTTAGCATGTCTACATAAAACTTCACCGTTTGTGTTTACTCGAACATCTACTGGCAATACACAAATCTAAGAACAGCTAAAAGAGATAGACGAAGAGCAAGAACAAAAAGTGACACCATACAAGACGCCGAAATTGACTTTTGTTAAAGTTCATGCTTTAACGATAGTTAAGGTCGGTACCTTTGTGTCATGATTGCTTATATACCTTTACCACCTGCTCGATGATATCGACCTAGTGCGAACACATACACTTCTCAGATGAACCACTTAGGGTTACATCACATGATATAACATTGATTTTATCATTTTTATTTTTTATATATTTGTATTAAGGCACAAAAATCTATCATGTTCCGCAATTTTTTAAAAAAATCTTAAAAAACAAACGAGATATATGGCAAAGAATTTTTATCATCGTATACAAATGCGCGAAATTAATAATTTGTGAAATTTCACATCCATGCACGCGAAATTTCACATGCATGCAAAAACTGTTTGCTATTGGCTCAACCTGCATAAACCGCTGCCTTCTCCTCTTCAGCAAAATTTTCATTTTTGTGTTTTGGCTTTGCTTTATGCCTTTGTAGTTTCCTTGGCCTTTCCTTTCTTACGCATTGCCGCTTGGCCGTCATACAGTAGCTCAGTAATTTCCACCCTTGTGGATATGTGTTAATATTTAATACTTTAATCAACTCAAACAACATGGTAGCATTCTAGCCTGAAGACTAAAAATAGAGGCCCCTGAAGGGGCAAAATGGGAACTGGGATTGATCTATTTTTGACTGGGAAAATGGGATTTGGGTTGCTGGGACTGGGATTTGGCCACTGGGAATGGGAAATGAAGTCCTCAAAAATGGGAATGGGATTGAGGTAATGCGAGTCGATTCCCAATTTTTCTACGTTTCAAAGTATTTTAAAATACAATTTTGATCCGTTTTTGGTGTCTTTGGTCATGATATTCACAGCACTACCTGCGAACAGGCATATTCTGGCGCCCGGAATTCTGGGTTTTCTGATTTTAATATGCGTGTCTCAGCATGCTGCAAATGCCATTTCCGAGATTCAAATTTTAAAATTTTCCGTGCCTTTGGAACGGGACAAGCGCACTAGGACGTACTGTCTGCGCCCCATATGCCATAACGCCATTGTATATCTCAAAAGTACAGGGGATAGAATGCTCTGCGAACGAAGTATTTCTGCTCCATTTCGTTCACAGAAGATCTAATATAACATTTTAAAACAATTAAGTTCCATTAAAATTCTCAAAGTTAATAATTAACAGGATATGAATGTAACTTGTTATGTCATATAGCATTCTTAATCGTTGTTTGTTTTTACAAATTTCGGCAGAGCACAAGTGGGTTATTTGAGAAGTTATATAGTCCGTCAATATAAAGATAGGTATCGCGAATGTTTTACGCTAGATATGTCACACTTACTGTTAATTTATTGCATAGTAATATAACATCCGGTTACTTTCGCATGCGGGTAACGGCTGAGTCAACTGCTAATTCGGGTCCTCCGAAGGTAAAGAACGTTTGCTTTATAATCACTTATGGTCAATGTGACATTTCACATCTTTCTAGAGCACAATTTGCAGATTTATAATTGTCGACGCATGGGTAGGAAGGAGCACTAAGTAGGTGGGAATGTCGGAGGCTCATGGAATGGGCGGTAGTCACTTCCACACGGCAAAAAAAATTGTCCAGAAGATCGAGGTGGCGAGCTATCGGAAAGCACGAGAACAGTAAATGTGGCATTTTATTGAACCTTTCCGCAGACAATCTCAAAAATTACTATTCTGCGTATTCGTACGTGGTAAAGGAAGACCCGGACTTGGTGATTTCTCCAGGGCTTATAGACCTCCGCAATGCTGACGTGTTAGCGAGTACTAGCGCGACCAGCCGAAGCAAGAAAGTTGCACAGGCTTCCAAAAATATGTAACGAAAGGGACTCGCAGTATACGGCGTTGTACGCATTATACAATACTGATGTTAGTGTTATACGCTAATTAAGCTAATAAGCGTTTCCGGACGAGACGAATGCAATGAAACTAACATCGGTTGACACTTCGATTGTCACTATAGAAATATGAAATAACAGGCGACTAGACATCTTTTAAAACAGAACAAGGCTAAGAATAATCTGTTGAAAATGTCTAACAATGTATTTGCAATTAATGAAAGGGTTTGAAATTGATTAAACCAAGTTTTGGATCGATTGACACTTTTTTACATAAATAAATCTGATATATCACAGTGATATTTCTAGAGTTGAGTGTCAATCGATACATTTTATACAATTTTTGTGATTAAGTAGAACCCGTAATATATCAACAAGCGCTCCCTAAACACGTTTGCTTAGTACTTAATGTTCTGAAAATGATTATGCCGCGACAATTGAATTAGTTATATCAATGAAAATGCTATGTGTTTCAAAGTGACAACCGAGCACGTGTTCAAGCCGTTTTATATTACATACATGTTTTCATGTCAAATATGCACAATCTTTAAGTGGTCTTCGATAACTTACCTTTGCATTTTATTTAGCATTAACCTAGTTCGATAAGTAACCAGATAGATGTGTTTTCTCCCTTGCATATAGACCAGGTTTAATCGCTCGGCATACTACCCTCCCCACACTCACATCTTTCAGTATAAGCTCATTTATAATACACTGCTGGATTGTGTTACATTTCAAAGATATTGACCACAACCGAAGCACAGTAAGGACGTTACATTATGCCAATGCAATTCAGTAAACATGTTATACTAAATGCTATATGATTTTCGCGACACTGATTTTATAAAATACTCGGTAATTCAAAGAGGTTAAATATGCCTTTCATTGCCTTTCAGACAATCAATTTCAAAAGTCTTGGGACAGATGCCACAAAACCTTTGAATTTCAACAAAACGTCAATCCCCCTGCCCCCTGTTCAATGTTGTGTCCCATTTCTCGTCAGGTTTGTTGTGTTTTGGTTGGAGCAACATTGATTGGGGTGGGGTGGGGGGAGGGGGAGGGGAGCGGTATTGTGTGTAAAAAACTGTAATGATCCACTTACAATCTAAAACTACATGTGTCCCAACAACTTCTGAAAGTGATTGTAGTTGTGTTGGCGCTTTATGTATGACTCCAAAAGATATATTTTTGCTGTTTTTATTTTGTTCTCAATAAATATATAACGATTTATTGCGTGAGTTGACACTGGTGGCAGCATGGGATCAACAAAGACTGTTATCCCAGACAAGATATTTTCTGGAGAGGAAGATATATATCCGCGAGTTTCTTCGAGATTTCGAGATTTACGTGGCCGTAAACGAGTGGTCGGACGAGAAGGCTGGCCAATTTCTGGCTGTATTTTTGACTGATGATGCAAAGGCTTTTTACCACCAGCAACAAGAATCTGTACGGAAGAGTTATAAAGAACTTTCCGGGGCGTTGAAAGAAAGGTATGAGGGTGGTCTTGCATTATTAAAATACAAGAAAGTCTTTAATGGCAGATGCAGGAAGAGTGTAGACACATTGCATTCCTATCTATCAGAGCTGAGATTAGCATATGATAGGGCTTATAGTCTTCCCGCGGTTGACCCCTTGCCTGAAGGAGCAAGTGCAGAGGTCAAAAATGATAGATTTAAGCAAGAAGGAGCATTGGCATTCTATAATAAGAGAAAGAATGAGGATGTATTATGTCAGTTTATCAATGGCCTGGATAAAGATCTAAAGGAGGTGTTGATTTGACAAGATGACCTTTTGGAAAGGCCAGTGGAAATTATTCTGAAGCAAATTTCCACACTGGAAGAGGAACAGGGTGTTACCAAGAAAGTATCTGCAGCAATGGAGATGCCTGTGTGCAAGAGTAAAGAGCATGGTGACCTAGAGAACATTGTTTGGAGAACAGTCGCGCTGAAGGTCGAGGAAATGTTCAAGAAGGCAGCAGTTGGGAAGAAAGGAGGTAAGCGTATGGGAGGAAGAGTAAGACCTGGACCCAAACCTACTGATGTCTGTCGGGCTTGTAAAGTACAAGGACACTGGGACTACTGTAAACAATGTGCAGACAAACTTTCTCATAGATACTGGTGCAGAAGTAAGTTTGATTTCTGCAGATGTACCAGGTTTAATCCCCGAGCCGACGGCGCGAAGCGCCGTGCGAGGGTACTAATTCCACCCGGCTATATACACCCGGGGAAAGGAACGCACTAGCGAAGTCTAAAGTTCATCAAATATCGCGGGCGCATGGCTCACCGTTCATGTGTGGCCATCCTCACTGATCTCAAAATATGTAGCGGACTGTCGTGAATAGTGAACACTGATTGGTCAAATTTGAAATTTGCATTGTAACGACTGCATTGACGACAGCAAAATAACAATTATTTCTTCAATTTTCTTGCAAGTTGTATTTTTGCAAGATTTTGTAAATTTCAATAAAGATTAGTATTTAAATAAAGAGGAAACCAAGGTTATGTTCATGCGAGAATTTGAAATCAGTTTATTTCACACTCAATGTTTACGGATAATTCGACAAAGGGCGGTTTGGTTTTTTAAGAAGATTTTAAAACGTTTTGCGAAGCGTTTGTGGTTGAATTTACGTTAAATTGATTTAATTTTTCAATTTTAAAACTATATCCTTTAAATTATCGTGTTACCATGACAACTACTTTCAATTTTTCATATTCAGAAAACATAATGTTTTGTCAGCAAGGCGAGGGTTTCTGCATGCATGTATTTTCTAGTTATTAAAGAATCTCAAGTGCATCCAGTTTCAATAACTCATCAGCCAATTGTTGTTAAGGGTGAAACTGAGGTATCGTTAAATTTATGAGTTTAAATACCACTTGGAAGTTTCTTGTTGTTGAAAAAATGACGGAATCTGTTCTCGGGGCAGACTTTATAGCTGAACACCACAAGGACTCGTGGGGGTTCAAGAACAATAAACTTTGGTTTGACGATATAGCTATCCCCTTAAGGATCCAGCCTTTTTTGAAAGGCCAATAATTTTCTCCGTTGATGTAGACACCTGGTGGCTAGGAACATGGTGAAAATCGAGTTTCTGTCACTTCTACCTATAGAAAACCATTGTGGACAGAATGTTCAAATTTTGAAATCATTTTTAGGCAAATGCATTGTAACATACATTATTGGAAAGCTTAAACAAAACTATATAAAGGTAAATTAAACCGTTCTATTCAATTTACTAGCCAGTTTGTCGTTATTCTAGCTCAAAGTTGGAAAAATAGCAAAAATTTGCAATAACTATATAAAGGTAAATTAGACCGTTCTATTCAATTTACTAGCCAGTTTGTCGTTATTCTAGCTCAAAGTTGGAAAAATAGCAAAAATTTGTACAAAATACAAATTTATGGAATTTTAAATCTTGTATAACTTCGGCTGGATAGGCAAAAGCAATGTAACCGTTTAATTAATATATATTTAGTTTTTTTCTAAGCTTTCCAATGATGCAGGTTATATTTGCAAAAAATAATTTCAAAATTTCAACATTTTGTCCGCAATGGTATTCTGTTGGCAGAAGTAAGAAAAACTCGATTTTTACCATGTTCCACCGAAGGTATTTTTTGGGATTTTTAATATGTTAATCAGAACACCTTTTCTCACACTCTACCACTGAAAAAAATCCATTGCGATTACTTTGATCAGGACCATATACTTATAGTGATTTGACTTGACTGGAATATCTTGATGATATTGAGGTTGTATATATGTAAAACTGGTGAAAAAAATTGATTTGATTTGATTTGGTTTTCTTCTTCCAGCCTTGATGCAAGAGACAGGTGCGGACTCGACACCAGTATACTGTTCTCATGGGCATTTCTGCTAACATCTGTATTAAATTTCCCCTTAGGAAACATGTTCTGAAACAAAAGGATGGCACTAGCGTTTCTATAACGACCCTGGGTAAATAATCGAGGTACCACAGGACTGTCCATCGCTTCTGCCATCAGATCATCCAGTATGATTATGTTGTTGTACTGGATATTAATCTCACTCAGATCATCGGACAACTCGGGCAAACCTTTCTCAAACCAGATGCTTTTCCCAAGGGATTTTCTCAAGTCGTCGTAACGATCTTGCCATTGATTGTAGCACCAAAGAATGCGGATACTTCTTTGCTCCTCGTACACGATACGATTGTTTTCCAAAATTTGTTGGACAAAGTAAGTTTTTCCACTTTGACTCGGACCCACGACCAATAGCGAAAATTTATGGCGGAAATTGAATTCCGGATAGGGCTTAATAGTCAAAGACGCTCTTACTCTTGGTATGCTTTTTGTTGGTTTTAGTAATACCAGCACTTGACAATGTTTTCTTTCGAACACATCTCATTTCTTTCAGTATATGTGTCGGTCGTGCAGGTACTAAACTTGGGTTGAAATTATACGGTGTTGAGAACCTCACCCTACCTAACACGTTTTTCCTTTCATATCCGTATAAGTTATGTACTTGACGCAAATGATCACTCATATATCGAAGACCAGGCTTGTTACAGACAGGACGGTCTCTTTTGTGTTTATAGGGCATGTTGACAATTTGAAAGTTCGATTATAATTCACCGAGAATAAAGTGTTTCAAAACATTTATATTTTTTCCGGCGACATGTGTCTGTGATGCACAGTCGATGTGAGGTCGATGTGAGGTCGATGTGAGGTCGATGTGAGGTCGATGTGAGGTCGATGTGAGGTCGATGTGAGGTCGATGTGAGGTCGATGTGGGGTGGATGAGGGGTGGATGAGGGGTCGATATAGGCTCGATGAGAGGTCGATGTGGCGTCCATGTAGGGTCGATCAGGGGTCGATGTAGGGCCGATGACAGGCCGATGTAAGGTCGATGAGAGGTCGATGTGGGGTCGATGAGGGGTCGATGAGGGTCGATGAGAGGTCTATGTGGGGTCGATGAGCCAACTCATGAGCAGGCATAAAGGTACAGTGTCACTCAATAACAAGTCATTTTTAGACAACTAGTGCTAGCTGCAAATTTTGTGGAGAACAATTTAGCGGTTACAATATACGTAGACACGAAAAAAATACTGTGCACTACGCGAACAACAAAGAAACATGTCTCAAACGGACTCGGATAGCCAGGAAAGGGATTTCCAAGACGACATTTCGACAACTTCAACTTCTGGGTCTGAAAGTCTGATGACGACTGATAATGAGTCTGAAGAAGAAACGGACCCTTGGATACCGTTGATAGAAGAAGCAAAGCAAAGAAGTAATATAGCTTTTAAGGAAATGAAAGAAAGCCTTATAAACAGTGGTCTGGATGAACAATCTGCTAAGGACAAAGCTTACTCTAATATTCTGCCTAAACTCCAGAAGGAACTGGAAAATATTTATATGGAGCGTCTCTTGTGGATGAAACAACTAAAGAAAGATCCGGCACATAAGAAAATAATGCAGACAAAAGATGCGCCAAAAACGATGATTTTGATCCAGAGGAAGCCACTGAAGCAGCTGTTGATAAGAGGAAATTTCTTATAAAAAGACATTTAAAGGGTTACAATTTTGATGAAGAGAATGATGATGATGATGGTGAAGAGAATGACGATGATTAATAGGATTGAAGTCATGTATTCGAACAGTATTGGCACGTAAAAGCATACCAGTATTAAGACCCAGCATGTAAATTTTGAGTCACTCAATAAATTGCTTTATTCCTGTCTTTTCTTGTCAATTTTACATTGGTCGGCCGGCTACAAATCAAAATGGTAAAAATATAGGAAAATCGGCTGCTATGGATGTCCCACATGACAAAAAAGATCCAATTCACAAGAAGATCATGCAGACAACAGATAATTTGATTGACGTAGATTTCCTCGACCGCGAAGAAGCTTTATATTCCGCAGTAGAAAAGAGAAAGTTTCTTTTCAAAAGTCTTTTAAAACGACAACATTATTCAGACGATGAAAGCGATATAAACGAATGAATTGTTGTATTTCTATATTTTCAAAAATAAAATTTCATCAATCCTATTTGTTTGTCTTTGTATTTGTATTTGTTATAGTACTCATCACACTGAATTGAATTGTTTTCTCTTGATTTTTGGCTTATATCAAAGGCAATCCGAGCAGAAAAGGACAAACGGGCAGAAAAGGCCAAACAGGATCAAGCGGACCATACGAGCCTTTGTTAAAGAAACTATGTTTAATGTTTATTGACGATAAACCTAGTGTACAGCGGTCCCTGCAAACGTAGTGTAAAGTGAGCTGAAGCATAATCACGCGCACATCATGTTCGTCTCGGGTACGATCTTAATTCAGTGCTTAACCTTTGCGTGCGACCTTTCCGTGCGACGCCACACTGCGCGGGGGCATAAACAGACAGGAAATTTAAAACAAATTGATTTATCGTCAAAAGCTTGAAGTCCGTCTCAAGAAATCAAGAGTCGCTTTACGATCTTTCCCAAAGTTTTAAAATGTTTCGCTGCTTGTTCAAAAGAGAGAGATAAAGAGGGTAACACGAAATCGAACTGATTTTAAGAGCAAAATACTATAGCCAAAGCTACCGCGTTCAGGTTGACTGCATGCATACAATTAACACATGGATTAACACAATAAAGCGTACGCACGTTTCTGTTTGTACAAAACAGTACGCACGGGTCCTGTTCGAACAAAATTGTTCGTACAAGGAGAGTCATCGTAATAAAAAAGTGGAATATTTGAAGAATAAACTTTCAGATGAACAAGTTAGAAAGATAAAATAGTCAAATTGACTTTCTTATTGGAA